ATTTTGGCAAAAATTGAAATATTTTAAATGGGCATTTTAGTCATATCTTGGCCAAAAATGATCATAAAGATGAAAGAAAACTGTTTTGAGTAGCTTATTACCAAATCTAACCACTCCTATCACTTTTTGAACGATTTAGAAAAATTAATTTTTTGGCAAATTTTCGCATTTTTTGTAAGGGGTAACATCATCAAAATTTGCAAAAAATGGCAAAAAAATACAATTTCAACTTTTGAATGTAGTTTAATTGGAAATTTAATTACGAGCTCAACGAGGTATGATATTCCATTATTGGACAATTATTTTTAAAGTTGTGGCCAAAAAACTGAATATTTTATGACCGAAATTCGAAAAACCGGATTTTGGCAAAAATTGAAATATTTTAAATGGGCATTTTAGTCATATCTTGGCCAAAAATGATCATAAAGATGAAAGAAAACCTGTTTTGAGTAGCTTATTACCAAATCTAACCACTCCTATCACTTTTTAAACGATTTAGAAAAATTAATTTTTTGGCAAATTTTCGCATTTTTTGTAAGGGGTAACATCATCAAAATTTGCAAAAAATGGCAAAAAAATACAATTTCAACTTTTGAATGCAGTTTGATTGGAAATTTAATTACGAGCTCAACGAGGTATGATATTCCATTATTGGACAATTATTTTTAAAGTTGTGGCCAAAAAACTGAATATTTTATGACCGAAATTCGAAAAAACCGGATTTTGGCCAAAATTGAAATATTTTAAATGGGCATTTTAGTCATATCTTGGCCAAAAATGATCATAAAGATGAAAGAAAACCTGTTTTGAGTAGCTTATTACCAAATCTAACCACCCCTATCACTTTTTGAACGATTTAGAAAAATTAATTTTTTGGCAAATTTTCGCATTTTTTGTAAGGGGTAACATCATCAAAATTTGCAAAAAATGGCAAAAAAATACAATTTCAACTTTTGAATGCAGTTTGATTGGAAATTTAATTACGAGCTCAACGAGGTATGATATTCCATTATTGGACAATTATTTTTAAAGTTGTGGCCAAAAAACTGATTATTTTATGACCGAAATTCGAAAAACCGGATTTTGGCAAAAATTGAAATATTTTAAATGGGCATTTTAGTCATATCTTGGCCAAAAATGATCATAAAGATGAAAGAAAACCTGTTTTGAGTAGCTTATTACCAAATCTAACCACCCCTATCACTTTTTGAACGATTTAGAAAAATTAATTTTTTGGCAAATTTTCGCATTTTTTGTAAGGGGTAACATCATCAAAATTTGCAAAAAATGGCAAAAAAATACAATTTCAACTTTTGAATGCAGTTTGATTGGAAATTTAATTACGAGCTCAACGAGGTATGATATTCCATTATTGGACAATTATTTTTAAAGTTGTGGCCAAAAAACTGATTATTTTATGACCGAAATTCGAAAAAACCGGATTTTGGCAAAAATTGAAATATTTTAAATGGGCATTTTAGTCATATCTTGGCCAAAAATGATCATAAAGATGAAAGAAAACCTGTTTTGAGTAGCTTATTACCAAATCTAACCACCCCTATCACTTTTTGAACGATTTAGAAAAATTAATTTTTTGGCAAATTTTCGCATTTTTTGTAAGGGGTAACATCATCAAAATTTGCAAAAAATGGCAAAAAAATACAATTTCAACTTTTGAATGCAGTTTGATTGGAAATTTAATTACGAGCTCAACGAGGTATGATATTCCATTATTGGACAATTATTTTTAAAGTTGTGGCCAAAAAACTGATTATTTTATGACCGAAATTCGAAAAACCGGATTTTGGCAAAAATTGAAATATTTTAAATGGGCATTTTAGTCATATCTTGGCCAAAAATGATCATAAAGATGAAAGAAAACCTGTTTTGAGTAGCTTATTACCAAATCTAACCACCCCTATCACTTTTTGACCGATTTTGGGAAATTCATTTTTCGGTCAATTTTCGCCTTTTTTGTAAGGGGTAACATCATCAAAATCTGGCAATGGCAAATGGCAAAAAAATACAATTCCAACTTTTGAACGCAGTTTGATTTGAAATTTTATTGCGAGTTCAACGAGGTATGGCATTCCATATTTGGACTATTATTTCCATGGTGATGGCAAAATAACCTATTATTTTTGAATACAAATTCAGAAGAAGGAACGTTATTTTTTTTTGGGTGTACTGTGTATCCCGCGCACATTCACATTCGATGGGCTTTGTTTATGCTGGCGATGCTGCCTTTGTGGCGCATTCCTATTCCATCGCCGACGTCAAATATGCAAACATTTAATTTCGATTCAAAGGACGCGTCTGTCTGAGTGGGGCAGAGGCATTATTTTTATTGTAGGAGTATTTATTGAATATTTCTGGCATCAAACGACGTCTGATGACTCGGCTTGAATGGCGGGTTGTGCTCCAACTGCTGTTGGTGCTGCTGCTGTTCGCCGTCCGCGGATACAGGACTCCGTCTTGGGGGTAAACTACAGTGAGCCAAGAGTGGGTTCGCAGGACGAAGGACTCCCTCTCCGCGCCATCAATTTGTGTAAATTTGAACTGTCACTTTGAAGGCGTTAATTGGATTCAGTGGCGCAGGCAGCCGCGAGCTGTGGGGTCTCGAGTCCTCCAGCCGAGTCCTGCGCCGCAAGGAGCTGCTGATGGACAAAGTCGAGTAAATCCAGCTGAGGCGCTGATAAGGCCGGAGCAAACATTTTGTGTTGGCGCTCCTGATCGAACGCGAACTTAATCGAATAATGTCAGGCCAACATCAAGTGCTCCATTTAACCCGGGTGCGGGGTTATCCAAGCTCTAATGCAGCTCTGCCCTGCGTCGATAAAGTTGGGAATAAAGTGACACTCAAGCGGTCTTTGGGGTGATAAATAAACACTAAACGTATTCTATTTTGTTTTGAGTGCAGCAAGCTGTGTGGGCTTTTAAGATAATCATATAATTTCGCATATTATTTTGAAAATGTTTGAAAATGCTAAACGTAAGCTGCAGTCCAAATGAAATTGTTTTTCTTGCACTTGAGCGTAATTAATGCAGCAAATATCCTGCTTTATTAATATTAGCATCCATTTACATAGTTTCAAAACTTTGTTCATTTAAATAATCTGTACTAAAAACCTTTTCCAAAACTTTGCAGGGCATTCAGCTTTTCGTTTTCTCTTTCCAATTTGTTGCCTTTATGCTACTTTTTTGACAAACAAAATTTGGGCCATGGCTTTGTGACTTAGATTAGAGCATCCTTTGGCAAGGACGAATGGTGGCGGTGGGTGGTGCTGGTGCTGGCTGCTCGGCGGTGGGTGGTGGGTGGTGTGTGGCGGAAGGTGGTTGGCTGTGACGTATGAGTGGCTTGAGTGGGCCTGGCAAATGAGGTTGCCGGGTCAGGGGATTGGATTCGCTACTGCTGCTGGTGGGATAAGTTCACCAGGTGGATCAGCAGGGCTGTAAGTCCTGGCGGGATTTAAGTATGCCCAGCGAAACAAGGAAATTATCCTTGGGAAGCAGAGGCTTAAGCCTGTTTAACCTCGTGCTCAGAGCTCTTAAAGGATTCCCTCAAACTGGAGTATATATTTATTTACCTGAACCGTAAACACATTTTCAGTTCGACATTTGCGGTTTCAATCGCTCGTATGTGTATTTAAATACGTTATTACCGAATTACCCTGTTTTGCTTTGCTAGCAGCAACGGCAGAAGAGAATGAAACTCAGTTTAATATTTTTGTAAGAAGTTTGGAGCGTCATTCCCTAAAGGAAACACACGTGCGCATATCATCTGAAGGGGATTTTGAGTACGAAACATGTTTAAAATGTTACGTTTATGTCTGTGGAACAAATGCTTTTGTTTTTGCTAATTATACCTAATGGAATTAAGAAGGCGAAATGGGGCTAAATGGCGGTGCATGCAGATTTGCCTCGACTTAGTTTATGGCTGAAAGCCGAAATGAAACAGTTAGGCGAATCGTTAACGTAGGAAAATGCAAATGGCTTAAATGGAATGTGCACCCCAAACTCACCCCCTCAAAAATTCGTTCATTCCACGACGCTTTTGCCAACAATTTCCACATTTCCCATCCTGAGTTTGTTCTGATAAATGTTGCCTACTTTTTTGGGGCCATGCAAATGAACCGGAGATGAGATGAGCTCCGGAATTATGAGTTTGCGTTGGCCATAAAACCAGCCATTCCAGCACTTGGTTATTGTGATAAAATAAACATATAAATAAATAATCTTTGCTCTCAGATGATGGCAATGCTGATGGCATTTCTGTGGCTGACCAAACCCACAACCACAACAATTAGGGCCCCCTTGCTTTTGCTTTTGGAGCGTTGACAGCCCCACAAAGTCGGCCGATTAACATTCGTGCATCATTTGGCAGGACCGAATTGTTTTTGCCTTCTCTTTCTTCTCTTTGTGCCTTTTTTTGCTGGCTAAGCTAGGGGGTGGTGTCTACATTGGCTTAATGGGGCCAAAAAAGGTTGGGCAAGGTCACACAGCCAGCAGGAGGCGAAATGTGACTTGGTGGGGTCAAGAATGAGTACGGTTCTGCGATGTTGAGTGCGATTAAGTGGACTCCGAGGAGCAGGAAGTGCCCTCCACTTGCCCTGCCAAGGAAATGTTCAATAAATTTCGGGTCAAAATATTTGCCTAGAGATGGGCAAGGTAAGATAGATGGAGTCAGGTACGCTGCTACACAAACGGATAAATGGAAGCTCGAATGTCAGGGGTCGTGTTCTACGTGGTGACTTACATTTGGATTACAGAAACATAGATACATACATGTGTATACTGAAAAGCAACACGTTTAGACATTAAACTGAACGTGCATTAGTTAAGTTCTCAGCATTAAGTCTATCGCAAGAAGTGTAAACGTATCGCATACTTTCTAAGTGCGCTTCGTCACTACGTGAACTGCCGTTTGCAGTGACGAGAAGTACAAACAAGTAAATGTAAGCAAATCTAATCAACATATTTCTCTTTCGAACCCATTTCAGTTTCACCCGAGTCGATTGTCATCCCGATCGTCTCCTGTATCTTCGGCTTCCCCATCCTGGCGCTCCTGGTGATCTGCTGCCTGCGAAGGAGGGCCAAGTTGGCCCGGGAGAGGGACAGGAGGCGGAACTACGATATGCAGGACCATGCCGTCAGCCTGGTCAGATTTAGTCCAATACATAGGCTTAGTGAGTTTGAATGTCGTAATGTAATGTGTGTACGAAGAACGTTTCTTTTTCTCGTTTTCTTTTTATCTCTGGTTTTGCAGCCACTGGCAGATCGAATGACTTGTCCGTATTTTACGACATCCTGCATCCTGCATCCTGCATCCCGCAACCAGCATCACTGCATCCCAGCATCCCAGCATCCCAGCATCCTGCATCCCTGCATTTCCCACCTGCATCAGTGCAGATACAAAACTCATCTTTGCCCTCACTTTACGAGCACATAGCCCACATTCACATTTAACTGCACCCCTAGCTCTTTTGCCCACTGGTATATACACACTCGACTCGCTTTCACTTCGCCAGTTTTCCTCTTAATCTGTGCCATGTCGTGGCCATTAATACACCTGTCGACCATTGTTGGTGGATCAGCCAGCCTGCATGAATGAAAGAAAGTTGGGAGTCCACAAAAGGATGACAAAACGCCCGACGACGCATCATCAATACCATAATCATTGTTTTTTAAGAGCCCGCATGTCGAAAATGTACCTTTGTACGAGGCACTGAATTGTCATTGTTAGTGGACAGAGCCGAATCCAAGCCAAAATCCCCACAAAATCCGAACAGAGGGGCATTAGCCATCCTGCCAGCAGGCACACTGAGCGAAATCGGTTCACGTTCATTTTAGAACTGTTAAAATCCTAGTATATTCATTGATGCATTATTTCCGCCACTCTATTGAAACTCGCAGGCGAAAACAACCTTCTTGACATACAGATACATATCGATTGCAGATTTTCAGTCATTTCCTATCAATTTAATATTTATGAAATATATATATTCCATTCCGACAATATGCAAGTTCTTATCGAAACGGCAAAAAGATTCAATTTATTCAAATTCTGCTAGGCAGCCGTGTTGCCTCCCAAAAAGCAAGCTACGGAAAACGTGAGTTGAGTGAAAGCAGTACAACTTAACTGGTAGAAAGTAAGACACATGTGTGTGTGTGTGTGAGCTGCTTTGCAAGTGTCGAGCGAAGAGTGAGAGAGCGCACGGAAGCGAGAGCGAAGGAGAGAGAGAGAGTAGCCCGCCTTGCATTTGCATTTGCATAGCATACCTTTGGGCGCTCGCAGTCCTGTTTGCATATCACAAAATCGAATGGGGCGGGAGGGGAGTGGAGCGGGGGAAAGGCTGTGAGGGAGCGGCAGTTGGGCGAAAACACAAACACAAACAGAAAACAGGAAAAACTGTTGAGGGCGGGGGGAGGGGGCTAGTATAGTAGCTTGCCCGCTTATTTCGCAATGCGACACACACAAACGCACACACAGCGCCCCCGGAGTTGCCACGCCCACTAAACAACGCTGTCGCGCAAGGGTTTCAGTGCTTTATGCACGCACGAACACGCAGAAACATTTTTATAACTGTAAATTTCATATTCAGAACGCGGGGCGTCAACTGAATGCGAATCCGCCACTTCAGGTTCCATAGAGCAAAAAAAAAGGAAAATAAAGCACTCTGGCAGAGAAAAAAAATAAACAAACACACACACACAGGCGTAGTCAACCCTTCTCCATGAGAAACTCACGCAGCAAATGCCGTCACATTTTTCTGATACCCTTGATTAAGTGCAGTTTCGCAAGCTCTTTTCTCTCACCGAAATAATCGTGTGGCGCCACAGAAATCAATAGAGGTATTACGTTGCAGGCAACAAATATTTTATAGGTAAATGGTAAAATTAATATCCATTTCAAAATAGGTAGCATTTCACTGTCTATTCAAAAGAATTGTACAACTGTTTACCATTTTCAAGCTAGTTTTCCTCCTCAAAACTCTTAAACCTGCACTGAAAATGGCGGAAAATGGTGAAAATAAATGGAAAATGTGTACCCCATTTTGCGTAGCATTTATTCGCACTGTGCAGCGCCGCAACGATGATGATTAAGGTGGTGTTGACGAGGTCGACACAACCGCAGGACCCCAAAAACGAGGAGCGACAACCGCGAACTACACTGGTTTTTGGCTGTGTCGCTTCTTGGCCCCAAAACAACACACATATTTTGCGCACCCCCCGAAAATGGGACATGCGTTTTTTTGGCACACATTTTCGCAAAACGATTACGCATCACCGCAGCTGCCTTTGTCTGTTTTTTTTTTTTTTTGTGTCCCAACCAATTTCTCCCCTCTTGTTTTCACATAACTTTCTTTGTCGTCTCGTGTTTTTTATGTGCTCCACATGTGCCGGGCTGAAATCAAATTCAGTTAATCATTTAAAAGGATGTTCATACTGCAGCAAGTGAAATTTTCATTGGAAATTACTTTAAAATTTGCTGGTGTTTTTGGCACAACGTTTTAGTACCGAATATGCATGGATACCCAAGTAGTTTTTGCCATTTCCTATATTTTGTTTTCAAGCGCAAAACACACCGTTAGTATTTTCCCTTATTTATACAGCTATGGGGATAAAAAAGCCATTATTTGTTTAAGAAAATGGGAAAATAAGAAGTACTTTCGCTCGTGTGGCCAAGATAACATATATGTATTTTCGAGCTGCGGTGCAAGTAAATCACTTTTCACCCCACGTTTTTCTCATTTTCGGCGCGTGGCACCAGCACATCCGTGACATTTTCAATGTGTCTCCTTCGACATCACTCATATCCTTCACACACACACACACACCCCTTTGCATTATATCCTGCTCGAGGGACCAAAAGCGAAAAAAGACGACTTTGATTAAAGGAAATTCTCTCTTCCCAATGCCCGCCAACCATCCACAGATTACCGATCGTCGCGAGCTATCAGTCTACGTCCTGAACGAAGCCTAAGCCAGGGCTTCACCTCTCTGGAGCTGGACACTGTGCTGGAGGAGCGATGCAGCGACGTGGAGCAAACGCAGACGGAGATGTTCAACGCGGAGTCGCCGATGGACACCACCTCCTACAAGATGTCCATCTCCTCGAGCTAACAGTTAGCCAAGCAGCAGCAACTGGCGCAGGCATCGGCCCAACCGGAGCTCCGAGATGCCCAAATAGAGCGCCAGGAGCCGGTACCGAAGGTTCCGCCGGCCAAGTCCTCATCGCAGCTGGCACCACCGCCACAGCTGCGTAAGACGGCCAGTGTGCGCGATGATCCTGCTGGCTTGGCCAAGCGACGCAGTCGCCTCCAGGAGATCCGGGCTGCCAGCAGCAGTGTGAGTGGAGGTGGCGGCGAGGCAGCTGCCGCCTTCACCAAGCGGGAATCCAAGCGGGATCGCCGCTTGATCGCCACTGGCGCACCAGCAGCAGCTGGAAGTGGTAGCAGCGACAGGGAATCGCAGTCCCCCACCATGCGCAAGTCGCATTCCCTGGACGCCGCCGAGAGCTACTCGTTGGCCAGCATCCAGGCGCCGCTCTGGGTGACCCTCACCAATGCCCGCACCATCGACGAGCTGGCCCAGCAGAAGATGTGAGCTCCAGTGGCATCTGCATCTGCATCTGCATCTGCATCTCTCATCAGAGTCGTTCACTTAGCCAACCTCCGACAGTGTCTACAGCGCCCCGCCCACTTAGAAATCGTGTAAATGTTTAGATGAATTTCGAATTAGTCACATTAGCGACTCAAACGAGCTACTTGCATCAATAACTAAAGCTAAACCAGTTTAATGACGTTAAAGACCAAACAGAAATAGTAAAACGAAGCTAAAATTAAAATGTAAAAATTTAAATTCACTTAACGAACAAGTCTTTTATCTATGATATCATCTTAAGCTTTAAGGACTGCTTAATTTCCATTGGAGTACGTCTTTTTAATGGGGTCATAAAAAAAGATGAACCTACAGCGCAGTGGGGCGTTTGAGTACCTCCCCTTCTTGTGCGCTGGTTTGGCACCCGCCCGTTTATCCAAAAGTTTAACAATTTATGCGGTGGCTAAAAATATGCGTGGCAAGTGCGTGACTGTAAATGTCTTATCAGCACGCATGCTGTGCGAGCCGCCTATAATTCCCAATCAGTTCTAGCCGCCCACAGACCAAGTCATGAACATAAATGCAACCAGCATTAGGAGTATATACTTCACGGAATCATCTCTGTGGTCGGCCCTCACATACTTTAACATATACTGAACATACTTTAACATATACTGAACATACTTTAACATATACTGAACATACTTTAACATATACTGAACATACTTTAACATATACTGAACATACTTTAACATATATATTTATATTATATATAATAAATTAGCTGATTAGACAAATTGTGCCATTGAATTACGTTGATTTTGCGTTCCACAAGTATTTGCATTTGCATTTAATTTGTTCACCACATAAAGGTTGTGATTCAAAAGCCCAGCTGGTTTCATTTTCAAGAATGTATTGGTTTTTATTTAAATTATCATGTATACATACAAAGAACTTAAAATACAAGTTTAATTTCTTTATCAAAATACATTGTTATACAATATTCTTAGTTGTTGTCGTTTGCATGCTTGGGGTTTATTTAAAGGATTGGTTTTATTGATACATATTTTAATCTGCTCCCTTACTTAGTTAATTATATTTAGTTTAGCTTTGCACACCGCGTTTAGTTAACATTTTATATTCGTGTATAATATAGGTTTATTTATTTTCTTTGTTGTGTTTCTCGTTTATTTGCATTTGTAATATTAATTAATAGAAAAAAAATACTAACAAAAAGAAGAGGTTGTTTTGGATATATGTATAATATAAGGGCTATGCGTGCTCGCACATAAATCTGAATCCCCTGCACGCATTTACACACATAAAACTTGCATACAAATCGCATATAATACAGTGTATGAAAAACTGCGCCCAGTGTTCGCAGTAATACATTTATCCCGAAATCGCTTGCCAAGCTACACACACTTAAAATAAAAAACAAACGAAATGACATGAAATGTTCGTAATTCGAATGCAATTTAAAAAACACAAATACACAGTTTGAGGAAGCACTTTTGGCGAAGAGTCCAGCAAAACGCGCACGCACACAAAAAATACACATATAGTACAGCCCTTTCTCGACATCTTTTCAAGCTTTTTTGGGGGGGTTAGAGTACAGAGAATGCAGGGTATGTTAAAAGAACATTAAACAAAATTGAACTATGAAACAATTGAAAGCACTTTGGCCTGTGTCCGTGTGTGTATCTGTGTGTGTGGGAGTGTGTCTCATATGACTGCTGTGTTGGAAATTCGCTAGAAGAAGCCTGTGAAATTTGGTTTTCTTTTTCCGAACATTCGCGAAGAAAATTCCGCAATTCCGGGCAGGGAATTTTGATACTGAGGGGTGTGTTGTGTGTGTGCGTGGCCTGGTGGGAGCCGTTGGTCTCAGAGTTATACAATAGTTGTCGTCATCGGGGGTATTTTATCGTAGATTATCATAGATTTCTCTCTTGTTTGCTTCTTTTCTAATGGACAGGCGGCACGGTAAAACGATAAAAAGATACATTAACAGATCACTTCATGCTGTTGCCAGTCGTCTTTTGTTTTTCTCGCATATTTTCTGTTCTCCTATTCATTGAGCAGTTGGTTCCGGGGGACTATGAGTCAAGAACTCAGGTCCTAGGCTTACTTTACACCTCTAGATTGCTTTCATTTCATTTTGTTTTTTTATTTTTTCGGTTTCGGCAGCGTTCAAAGCTAAATCTCAACAATCAGTTCAAAAAGTGGTCTTTTGTTTGACATTGTGGACATGGAACATCACAATTACAGAGGGTTTCAAATGTCTTTAAAAGATAGGATGGCACCTGACGCTCGGTGCTCGGTGCTCGGTCCATGTTATAAAATAATCGTATTTAATGGCGATTGCTTCTCAGTTCTCAGTGCCCCCGCGCTCACGATACTGCTCCGTAAGGAATCAGGGTTCAGGGTTCGTTTGGTTGGTTGGTTAGTTGATTCATCGTCGGTATAGCTGCAGCTCCCTCCTACGTCTCGCGATCTCTGTACCCCTCCTCTACGCCTCCGGCAATCATCGCCTACATGTGTATCGTGGCCGCCGTGTAGCGGGCCTCGCCACGCCTCCATGACCACTGGCTGGGACGGAACTGTGGAGAAAAAGGCAGCGATTAGTGGGGTCCGAGGTCACACTCAATAATTTCTAGCATGACAAACTAGAGTGTACAACTGAAATAACAATCTCATACCGCATCAATTAAAATATCAGGAATGAATATATTTAGAGTTCATTTCATTAAAAACAAAAAAAAAACAAATTCTCCTCTAAAAAGCTCATAATTGTAAGAAGAACATGCTTGCAAAGGCGCACAAACCTGCTTGGACTGCATGTAATTGAAAGAAATGTAACACATTGAGTATCCTCTGCGGGCATAGCATAAATGGTCTGACAAAGGACTCACCTGGATGAGCAGCTGGCCGCTCTTGGTGTGCGGATTGCGGTACGCGTAGAAGAGCCACAGCGTCACGGCGAACACCAGACAGATGGGCACCATGAAGCCGAAGGCTACGCCCACATTCTTATTGTCCGCTTCCGCCTTCGATAGCTCGGCGTTGCCGAGCTTTTCCTCCCTATGGACATCACTGGAGGACTCCAGCCCCGTCTTTATGTAAGCGGTGACATGTGGCGTCCTCGTGCTGATCACGCTGGGCTCCGTTACCGGCGTGATGGAGCCGGTGGATGCCGTTGAGGGATTTGTCGCACCATTGCTGGCGCCACTGTTCGGAGAACCATTCTTGCCCTGGGCGGCAGCATTGTTACCCTTATCGCCGAGGGCTGGGCACGAACTATTGGTATGAATGGCGGTAGTCTCACATCCTGGAATCATATATATTATAAAATAAGATCCCATAATAGCATGGCAACCCAGCAAAGCTTACCCTTTTGAATCCACTCGTGCTTCTTGCGGTCGGTACCCGTGGAGCAGCGATTCAGCGCCGAGCACCATAGGCACTGCAAAATATGAACTATTAGCTGGCGAACTGGGTGAAGGGGAATGGCGGAGCACTCACCGTAAACGTAGTGTTGTGGTTGATGCACGAATTGCAGTCATTGTAGCCAAGGCAGGTGGGCTGTGCCGTCAGCTTGATGATGGTGGAGCTGGTGATCTCCTGCTGCTGGAAGGAGACACGGTGGTACTCGTAGATTGTCTTTCGGCGGGCAACTGGCGAGGCGAAGGGATACTGATTAGCTGAAAGGACTGCAACCAAGCGAATAGTACTCACAGTATAGTTGCTTGTCGATAATGTAGGCGTCGGAGAGGCCAACCTTGACCGGATGCTCCTTGTCCTGGATGGAGTTGATGCTGGTGGGCACCAGCAGGTATGTGAAAACAATGTCGCCGCTCTTGTGCAGGGTCACGCTGAACGTAAACTTGCCTAAATCCGGCTTGTCCTGCAGCGTCACATTCTCCCACACGGCAGTGAAGGCGGTTCCTGGAAAACAAGACATAATATTAACATTTTTTAAGACCGCAAATTGTTTCATGTTTTCGGCATTGGCGCACGAACAAATACCTAACATAATTTTCCTTACGATGTGAGATGCATAAGGAAAATTCTCGTTCGAATCGTGGACTTAAAACTCACCATTGTCGTTCAATCGGACAAACGAGTCGTTGGACATGCTCGTATCGAAGTTGGCCATCAGTGGGGCAATGTATTGGGTGGCCGCCAGCCAGGAGTGAACGTACTCGCCGGTGTAGAGGAATCCGCCGGTGGCCACCGTGATGTTGCGCACAAAGTGTCCGTAGAAGGGGAAATCAAACTTGAGCTCCACCGTCATGGCCCGGCGGTGGGACGAGGAGAGCATGATGTTTTCGGGCGTCGTCTTCAGTTCGTTCCACAGTGAAGCCACCTCGTCCTTGTTCACATAGAGCACGCTGTTGTAGTAGTCGTAAAAGTCCACGATCTCTTTCAGCGACGCATTCTTCACCGCCGCCTCGATCTCTTCCTCGGGCACGTCCACGACTTTGGATACGTCCACATCGATGACCGCCGGCGAGGGATCCGTCATGGTTGATCCCGCCTTCTTCGGGTAGCCCGACTGTGCCAATAGTGTGGGCTTCTTGGTAGCCGGCGCACTTTGGCTAGTGCTGTTGGAGTCGACGGCCGGAGCCACGTCGTATGTCTTTCTCTGTCCGGTGCCGTTGACTCCGACATTGTGCACGTTGTAGGACACACTACCGCCGGCTGCCTTGTTGTCCACGGTGGTCACCGTGGTCTCTGCGGCCACTCCTCCGGCTGCTCCCGCTCCCCCTCCTGCTTCCGCACTGGCATTAGCAGACACGGCGCCTCTGTACGAGGTCCCCGATGGTTCGAATGTGTTTCGTCTTTGACGGTGCAGCCGTTCCGGCCTCAGTGGCACCACTCCGTATGCGTCAATGTTCGGCAGAGTTGTGTCCCCGACCTCGTACGTCTCCTGATGCACTGGCGATGAGAAGAGCAGGGTAAGTGTACGTTAGCAACTCTGAGCAATTTCAAACTAAGGATGATTGTAAGCACAGTTCGAAGCATGTCGACCAAGTCGGCTGCATATCCTGGCCATGTCGGGCCTGCGTTTCGGGCAACCAGGACAATCATTGGGGTTACAACCGCATTTCGTGCTCATTTGCGTGCCCATTTGCTTGTGTTTGTAATTAACCCAGCTGTTACGTGAAGCCCTTCTCGATATTGATTTTCTATTTCCATTCTCACATGTGCACTGACACATGTACATACATATGTAAATGGCATTTGGTACATACATACATAGTATGTGCATGTGCTTATGTATGTACTCCTACGAATACCACAATACCACATGAAACGCCATTGTTGACAGACCACCACCATCCACTGCAATTACAGCGATTACAACGATTACAACAATTACAGCATGCGGTTGGCGTTTTTCGGGGGGATTGTAAGGCAGCTTGTGGCTGACGGAATTTCGATCTCGGAACAAACGTAGGCACTGTTTTTGGCCGGTTTAGAGGACGGGAATAATGTTAGTTGAGCCTACGATGGTAGATATCTCACCAACCATATTTTAATTTTACCCAATTTTACATTTCCACATACCCGCCGTGCAGACTGCTTGACAAGCAGAGTCAGAAAGCAGAGAACATATTTTAAGTTCAAGCAACAAAGAAAATATAAATCTTATTGGACAAATACAGCCTGTTAATATTTAAGAGAAAAGTTAATGATCAAGGGCAGCTCTCTTTCCTTTCCTTCTCCTTCATCCAACATTCTCGTCCCTCTTCCCGCTTTCACGCGAGAGCGCCCCCGTGAGCACTGAATCATGGAATAGAGGAGAGCAGTAAAGAGAGGCGCACAAGAAGGAATAAAAGAGCTCTCTTTAAAGTTACGGCAGTGTAAGCTGTTCTTCTCTTCCACAGGCACACACACACTTACATCAATATGGGGAAAACAGCTTCCGATAAAACAGCTTATAAATAAATGCACTGCTGGGCTTTTCAGTGCTCTATTTTTATACTATATTTATACCAATTTAAGAAGGGTGGGCTGCTGTTGTGAAAACCTGCTATGTCCTTGTTTGTCATTAGTCCTGTCGTCACTTTGTCCCATAGTCCGTGCATTACTGTGCAGATGATAAGCCCAGCTCGCTAATTAGACCCCCTTAATTCTACCGTAGAATGGTAGCGGATCAATCGCCCCGCTACATACATATTAGCATCTGCATGCAAACCGCATTGATTACAATCGCTCCAGCCATAACTAGCTGTTAGCCCAAACTTTCGTTGGCCATGATTGATTGATTGATTTATAATTGGTTTGCATCGTTGTTACGGGGATAGCCACGCAAGAAAGCTCCAAATTCGATGCACCCAGTTCTAGTTTACATGCTTATAGTAGAAGCTAGCTGTGAAAACACGGTGAAAATCAGTAACTTTCTTCACAGGGTGGAAACGGTCTTATGCTGGGCCATTAAACCTAACTACCATATACGCATGTAGATTTGTTGGCCCACTTAGCGAATATCTAACGCATCTCTGCATGACTACAAATGATAGTGCATGGTATGTCAAATTCCTTTCGGTCAGCTTCACCACATTGTGTGTTTCGGTTGCCATCCAGAAAATTGATATTGCAGCACTTTCGCCAGGGAAGCGTTTCTACATCGCTCACCCGTGAGACTTTCGATTCGCATCGTTAGTCTGCGCACTTACCATGCTTCGTAAAGTGAAACATGTGTTCAAGAAATACCAATAAAATGTTGCTATTTACAGTGGGAGAAACACAATGTGCACAAATCTTAGTTCAAACTTAAATGCATTTAAGCATCAAGTTTTTCAAATGCTCAGAGACTGCTTGTATTCGATAAGTAAAAATAAATCCAGAAAAGTTTAGTGTTCCCGCCCATTTGCTCGCCAGCTTTCATAATAATTATTTCGTTGCAGATGCGGCCAAAGTGACGCGGCACCGCGGGATGAGATGCACATCCATTGGAAAAATCACCTGCCACCCACCCACTCTGCGCCCCCCACCCAGAAAACCCCAGAAAACCCCACAAACCCGCCGTCCAAGCCACCGATCAACATTCGCGTGACGCCGATCCAATTGAACCCAGTGTTAATTGCTGTAAGTGGCGGTTTGTAGTCTTTCCCCAGGGTTTCTGTTATGGTCGTTGAAATAATTGGCGTAAATTTATGCCGCACTTGATTGAAAACCGATTCGTTTTTCAATATATGTACATATGCATGCACATATCTCTGAGAATGGAAGAATGCCAGTTCCGTATTCCCAACTCAATTTGCTCAGATCGATTCGAATCAATGTAGTACCTCTAATTAATGCAGTACTCTAAGATTTAAGTTCGTAATATTGCATAAGCTAAACAAAAAGTGTCATGTATATTTCTCAGTGTAGTTGCCTTGATAACGACCTTTGGGTTACCGAAAATAATTTGCACGATGCCCCAGTTTGAGAAAAATCTTTAATTGCTGGGCTGCAAAACAAGGTGTGAAGGACGAATAAATCAATGAAAGTCGATCATATCGATGATACCATACAGTCAGTCAATTCGAAGATGCAAAATGCTAGATGAGAAAGAGCGTTCGCACGTTTTTGTTGAATTCATCATCATTTTAAGGGCATTGCGGTGCAACATTGCATAAATTCATTCCCACATTTCGCTAAACAATTCTCCATATCACTTATTCCTTTTGAACTCTTTACTGAATTTCAATAAGTGCTTCGGCATCAAAAACTTTCCGCCAAAATCATGTGGTGTTATATATATTATTTTACGAATATTAGTGAGTGTTGGCTGTGTGGCTTTTTGAGTAAGACAATACGTTTCAAAATTGTGTTTATGTTCTTCCCTTTTGATCCCTAAGAGGAAATGGTTTTATTACTGTGTCAACTCGATTTGGGTGCGCAACAAACATACATACATATGTACCATATATGTATATGTCGATTTTCGCATTCGGTTGAATTTGCATTGTGGAATCACTTGACATTGAGCTCGAGAATTTTAACACGCCAGCAATAGCGCTCTTTTTTCTTTCGATAAATATACGTACGTACGTAGATGAGCGTGTAGGTATGTATTTCTCTGAACTTAATTGCTAGTACACTGAGCGTTTTAAAGTGTGCTCAAACCATTCAAATTGTGCTATAAAACTAAAAGCTAAATGCCTAATTACACGTGCAAACTGATCCAATTCATTTGTATTTGTTTTGATATATCAACTCAGCTTTGTTGCTGAGACTTTATTTCCCATTGTTCAACTTGATGTTACTTGTGCAGTAGCTTGTTCTAGCTTGTGCAACCTATATATTTCCGTTCCAATACTGCCACCTGCATCACTGATAATTCTTTATCAACAATTCCCTAAAAACAACAATTTGCGTCGCACGCTTTTACCTGAACTTGCTCAGTTAATTGACGGGCGGTAGAGTACGTAAATAAACATGACTACACTGGGAAAAAGTACATATTCACGGGAGCAACCCATAATATACTTTGTAAATTGCATTTAATACTGTTCAAAATGTTTACTGTGCCATTTTGAGTGGAATTACTTTCTTATAGCCTAACTAACTTACTATACAGCCACATATAAAGTCATTTAGATGTATATTCTTGTATATAACGTAGATAGAACGTAGATGATGACAGTCCGAGTTCGAATCCCACTCTGTTTTATGCATTTCTAAAATCGTGCCACTCAGACGCATCGGTAATCAAATTTTCTTTCTGTGTGTCCGCTGTTTGCGCTGGACAGACGTGTCCGGAGTGCCAAGACATTAACAGTTCTTCGGTCGCCGTTAGGCGGAAAAGCTTATCAGCCCCATCCATTTTAGTTTTTTTTTTTGTCTTGGGGCAAAAACGGGGGCAAGCCGCAGCTTTTCATTCAGAGAAGCGAACAGCAGGGCAGCCACATGATGATGATGATCTGGTGCTAATGATGTTCCCATGGCCAAGAGAAACATTGACAAACGATGCATTTGTCGAATTGCGCAGATCTGGGGGATCCACAATGGGTTTCAGTTGTTCGGTGCCATCGGTGGGAAGTTTATCTCCATGAATAAGAGGAAAGATATCCAACTTGAACTTAGATTTCAAATAGAATCAGCCCCTAAGCCTTCGGAACCTGTTTGCGAAGCTGAGTTGATATCTGGCATCGACTTAGTAAAGCACTTTAGCACCGACCGAAAGATAACCTGTTGTACCTTTTTGCCATCTGTGGTTTCTCAGTTTCCTTAGAAAACACTTAGACTGTACAAAATAGTCATCAAAGTTGGCTGACCTGACACTTTTGACACCCCTTTTTTGTGTAAACAAAGGAAATTGCTAGATAACCGAGTTGGGAAAACACGTATTCCGAATTGATGGGGAATTGAGTTTGGGTAAAAAATGCATTCTACGAACAAAATGTTCACGTTTCCGATGACGCACTATCCATGAGTTAGTAACTCCATTCCCCCCAGGTTAATGCAGTTTAGAAACTTTCGCTGGTTTTCATACCGGAAAAGCGCCGGGTATGGATAATTTGATAATTCAGAACGGCTGGCACACTGCACACTGCAAAAAGGGGGTGAGTGATAATCGAAGCGGACAGAATGGCTTCTGTTCACTGCATCCCAGAGATTGGAGCAATGAGTTAACGCCCTTGATAAGCGATGGTGCCAGTAGCGGCATGACGCCAGATGCAAGTCCAACCGGAGTGGGTTGCGAATTGCCATTCGAAATACTGATAGACATTAGTCGTTGGGAAATGTGTTACTCCCAGAAAGAAACTTCTGGGAAAATACGGTTCGTCGAAGTCTGTTTAACTTGGAGGATTTCATAGAAGTGTATGGCAAATCAAAGCAGATATTTCGCCAGGAGAACTATCTTGTAAACAGAAAATGAAGCTCTTTATTGCAAATAAATTAGTTGGTAAATACCTAAAAGATAAACACTGAACCCAAGTCAAGTCATTTTTATTTGGCTATTTTGTTTTCCCTACACAAATCTAGGGACAGTACACTGCGAGAAACAAAGGTGCAGTGTATGGCTAAATTCTGGATTTGGTTAACGAAACTCTGCGGTGGCCACGCAGATAGTCGAGTGCACTTTAAGCAAGATGCCAAGCGACTGGATTGCTGAAATGAGTAAAGAGCCGATAAGGAGACAAAGAAAGCGAAACGCCGTACAAACTGAATCAACAAGACGGAAATACATTTGTAGGTGTAACTGTGTGTGTGCGCATTCAGTAGGTGGTTGGTATTAGCCGTTACGTCAGCAATTTTCCCCACTTATGTATGTGTATTCTTTTTTTTGGGAAATTGCGAAATGAAAACTGAAAAGTGCCGTTAGCCGGTGGCAGCAAAGTTGCCACCTGTCGAACTCGCGCGATAGCGAAAGAACGTTGGCAAAGGAGTTGCCAACTTGGTGATGTTGTTTCTGTTATCTACGTTACAAATGATTAACGCAGCTCCAGCGTTTGCGTTTGCAATTGCAAATTGCGACAAAAACAATGAGCTTTTGCGCCCCAATCAGCGATTTCAATTGATATATGCAGGTTGTTCGCCTGGTGGCGACGTCGCAGATGGAAAATTGGTTGCACGCTAAGTGGAGCATGGCGCAAATGAGCGCGCCGCGCACATAACAAAACTCGAAATAATACAAAGTCCGAGGCGGCGGGAGTTGGTTTTCTTTTTTTTTTTTTTTGTTTTTGTTTTTGTTATTTTCCATTTTTGAAGGTGGCTCGTTGGGCCACAGGACGTCGCCTATTTTCACACTCAACTGCTCTGCCACACACACGCACACTCGCTTTCCGTTGTTGTCAATTAACGCATTTGATGTGTCAGCACACGAAAAAAAACAGTAGAAAAAAATGAATTAAATACAACATGGCTGCGGTAAATTTCACCATAAGAAAAAGTACCAACTAACCGCCCGACCCCCTTTGCCAACACACGCCTTTTGATGATGATTTGTCTTTATTTTCTGTGAACGTTGTGTACAAACAACAGGCCATAAATACATTGAATACACCTTCCAAAAAAAATACGAAAACTACGCGCCATGTGTGCATTGCCCGCCCAGCAAACAGATGGGCTGTCTTTATTTTCAGGTATTTCTGTCTTATTGGAATCATTCGACTTATTCGAACTGCGTAGCGTACAAGAAAATAACAACCAGATTTACACACACACAAACAACAGCACATTGAAAGAGACACACATGCACACAGGGACAAAAAGCAGACGTACACCATCAAGGTGGATGAAGACAGAGATGGATAAAACAAAAGAGATTGAGAAATAGGCAAATAACTGCGAAGCACCAATATTCAAGTTCACTTACACACGGCCGACACGAATTCCGATGCACTGCAAGCGATGGCTAAAAGGATCGCAATTTGCGCGCACGCACTACCGACACTCTTTGCCATTTTTTAACCGTTCTTTCAGCCACCGTTCGTTGCGTATGAAAATTAAAATACGAATGCTGTTCGACCAAAGATGGCACGCCAGTCGATAAGCAGAGCGTTGCCAGATGCGTCATACATCGAATCTAGCGACTCTGATCACACCTGAAATAATCGATTGCATTCTATTGCATTTCTATGCAACACCCGATTTCCTTTTTTGAATTCGATATATTCGATAGATGGCCCAATTTCAAACAAAATGTCACTACAAAAACAGATAGTATATTCGGAAATCCAGTACGAGTACAGCTATAAGCAATTCAGCACATGTACTCTTTCAAATTGCACGCTAAATAGCATAACCTCCACTAACCCGACCACTGATTGTAGTTGTACACCTCGTTTGGGGAGCAGAGATTCGCATAGACTGAGTTCCGACCTGTCGTACATTCCGAGGCGGCGGATCCCGCCCTATAGACGGAGTTATTCAGCACATTGGTGACCGCGTAATTGCAGGCCAACAGGGTGGCCTGCACGTTGTTGGCGTCCGTAAATCGGGCAATCGCACAACCCACTCTGTTGTTACGCTCGTTGACCATGGTGGTGAAGTGGCCAATTGCTCTGGAAACGAAATAAATGGGATAAATTACCAAACACCCAACTGGCTATGCACTTACGGTCCCCCGCGCATCTGGTAGTTCTCCATGTCGCCACTGCTCGCATACCGATTCTCATCGAACCAGGCGGCGATCCTCTGGCGCAGAAAGACCGCCACATCCACGCTCCGGGTGAAGAGAATGCTCAGATTCTGGCCCGCATAGCGATACGTGTTCGTGTTCCGGCATTCATCGTGCGCCATGCGGCACTGCAGCGCATTGTAGGCGGCCAATTGGGCCAGTGTGGCGTCCCAGGCCATTGTGGCCATCTGGACGGCGCTGGGGAAGCCACTAAGTCCTCCGCCAGCGACCATGTTGCGGCGCTCATTGTGCAGCTGGAGAATCAGCTGGATGTGGGCATCTATCTGGACAAACTCGCCGCTGCAGCCGCTCACAAAGCGCTACATACAGTCGACGAACATGATTAGACAGGATCAAACGTGAGAGGGAAACGCATGCAAGGTACAGTTGAACATTTGAACTATACGCATTTACTTACTCCGCTGGATTGGCAGGCCACGTGTCTGCCACTTGGACACAGTGCTGGATCGCAATAGTCCTGAGCGGATGTAAAAGCAGTCGTAAGGACGATAGATAAAAGGATAATCCACCGTAGAGATCGTGACATTTTGGCTTCATGCACGGAAAACTACTAAATTGTTTACACATTTTGCAAACAGACGTAACGTTGCATGAATGGAGCGACTCATCTATTTAGGCCGCAGCCTGGCTGTTTTGCGACGAAGTAAACAAGTGCTTTTTTATAAAATAAATAAACATGCATATATGCTGATTTACTGAATGCACGTTCGAGTACAGCGCGCACCATATGCATATGTGCATTTCTTGTGCACCCCAAGTGTGTACTTGTCTTGCCAAGCGAACTTTCCAAATGCTGCTGTTCGTTTAAAAATGTTGAAAAATAATTGCGAATAATTCCGTAGACTTTTTCAAAATGTCAAGATATAATCCCGTGTTGGGCCTAACCCGTGACACAAACCACTGGCGTGCGGTATTTATGTGGGCATCGTCGCGCTTATAGCGAATGATTATTGAGTTATTCATAGCGCTGTGTCGCCGCGCAAGACAACTATAAGCCCAAACACGCTTTTGCACAACCGAAAGCGATTGCACATTTGAATTCGCTGCATTTCATGAGCACTGCTTGCCCGAAAGAAATGCGGTATTTGACTGCGCCTGGCAGGCGGCCACACCGCCCGATAGGCACGCACAATCGAAGAACGATTGCCACCGATAGCTTGCGACGACGAATCCGCACGAATCCATGAGCCCTCGCACCGCCGAGTCTTCCAGCTCCTCCCGATCGCCCAGTCGCCCAATCGCCATGTCCCAGACGCAGTGCCGCCTGTGAACAAGCACCGTGTGAAGTCCGCAGCCCGCCGTCAGCGGGAGCAGCAGCGTCAGGAGTCCGGAATCCGTTGCCCGGTTTCCGCAACAGGTTGCGTCGCCTTCGCCAGCAGAAGGGTTCAGTGCGAGCCAAGGCCGAGTGTGGAGTGCGCCCACGCGCCAGGATGCAGCAGCGCCGCCAGCCGGCGAATGGCAATGGAGGAGTGGGTAACGCCACCGCCACCGGCGCCATCCGTCCGGAGGAGCAGCAGCCAGGATTGGGCCAGGATGCTGGCGACAAGGAGGCGAGAATGCCGGGCAAGGCAACGGGCCGCGGCTGCTACTTCTCGCTGGCCTTCTCCATTGGATCGATGGGCCTGGCCTGCGGCAGCCTGTGGCAGATACCCAACAGCAGTGACCGCATCTCGCTGCAGCGCGGCCTGGTGCTCACCTCGCTGGGCTTCATCTACTTTGTCTCGCTAACGGACTTCTGCAACAAATATCTGCTGGAGACGACGCACGGCCAGCGCTTTCGGCGCAAGTACCGCCTGATGATGTCCGACGTCCTGGAGATCACCAACAAGTGAGTAGGAGTTGCGACAGCCCACACAATCCGCGGATGCGGCTGTTGCACGCACATTAGTATCGATTTTCCCGCACTGCCACCACCCACGCACTTACTGCACTTGCGTTATGCAGCCAAGTGGGGGCACTATTCCCTAACCCCTTCTGCTCAAATAACTCTGGGGCAGCCAATAGCTGCCCTTCTCGCGACCACATGATTCATGCAGTCTATTTATGCGTTCCTAATGCTTATATAAGTTCGTAATAATAGATACTTCGGTTGGCTACTGGAACGAATTAGCTGAATGCCGCTAGATGCTCAGGCCTAGCTGCCTTTTAGAACTGAATTCAGATAGCTAAAGATACAGCTTGCTGCTGTCATCGATTACGCGGATAATAAGTGCGCCAGTAACAGGTATTCTCAACATCAATCAAGTTCCCGCCATAAGGTGTCCATGACTCACTCAGCGGCATTGCGCCGTGCAGCTGGATTCACCTCAAGTTGAAGCATAATTAGATTACGCTATGAAGTGGAGCCCCCACTCGAGTGGTGGGCACTTCAGTTCTTCCTTCACCTGCAGCCTTATCTGGCTAAATATATTACGGGCGCGAATTTGGAGTGCCGTGCCCAGCTTTAAGTGCGCATTCTAGAGGGGATGGGTATCGACGTAGACAGATGGAACCATATAGTGTACACACAGCTCCGCTGGACGCTGGCTGTTGTCCCCGACAAGTGGCAATGGCGTTCCTTAGGCGACGCTGATTTATGTCATCTCGAGCACAGCGACATGCGGGTCAAGGTCTTGAAGTGGGCAGTGGGCAGTGGGTTGTGGAAGGCGAGATGGGATAGAACGGGTTTTCGGCTCAAGGCGAGTGGGTTTCGAAACGGAACAATTGCGGCGGAAAAGCAAAAACTATATATCGACATGGAGCCATTAAGCAGCCAGTGGAACATGCTCGATTTTCGCTCACAAATATCCAGATTTGGCGCAGGAGAAATGCAACTGTCCATGGGCGATGGAACTGGCGTTTTCTCAGTAATGTGATCTGTTCTCCGTGCCCGAATGCACAGCAGAGCGAGTGAAATTATTTGAGGGAATCGAATTTCACAGCTTTCAATTCGCCTGATGCAAGCGTACAAAACGGTCACTCATTAGTAATTGCCCCACTATGGAGTGCCCCTTGCCAAACTATTTGCCCCGCAAGCCCAAGTGTTAATTAAACTGTGTGTAGAATTGTTTAACGCGCTTAAATTGGGTTTCCCTCTGCTGGTCGCCCGCCGCCTGCGATTGCATACATGCACATTTGTCATGATGAAACAGAGAGTGCCTCTCCATATTGTGTAGTCTATTGCCATGTGCGCCGCTGGCTGTACAGGTGTTATACAACCCGATCTCTGGACGGGAATTGGCTCAATCTGCTTTATCAGTGCCGCAGACTTGGATAAGCACTCGTCACATGCTTGCTCGCACTGCCTTCTACATTGAGGTGTATACTAGATCTTAGTTTCTTACTGATTTCAACTTCTGGTGGCCAAGCTAGTGCTTCCAACTCCACTTTGTTGACTTAAGTTCCCTCTTAGTATCCCGGGTTACGCGTCTAATCATTGAAGACCTGCTCACACGACCCAATTTCCTGGTGGCTAGCTGATTACCCACGACCGTTGTAAGTCCAACAGACGCACTTCACCTTCGCGTTGGGCGATAAGGCACTCTGCCGGGTCTCTTGTGATTGCCCCCGCCTATCTGCCGCCCTCTTTCTATCCGGGTCTGTGTGTTCTGCCTGCGGCTATCGGGGAGCGAATCGATTTGGGTGAGTGAGTGCATCCAGCGTTGATAGGCGGCTTGTTGGCTTGTTGTCAGATGCTTAGGAGGCTTTCGAAAAGCTCGAGGGAGCCGCAAACTGGGCAACCCAACGGCGTAGAACTATTCGGAAATTTTCCATCGCTCCCCGCCATTTCCCTGAGCCCTTGTCTTCGTCACACATCTTAATTGGACATAGTTGAGTCTATTTGTTTATGTACATTACCGCTGGCGTGCTTGCCTTGTGGATATTCGCGGCATTTCGACGGCGGCCCAGCAACCGATATCGAAATCACAATTCGATTCGATTCGAATCGATTGACCGGCGTGGCCGAACCCAGATATGCAGCACCTGTGTGGCGGATACATAAGGTTTTGCATGTGTTTACATAGTGGATAAAGCCCCAGGCATGGGCCACTAAATAGTAAACAAACTGTGACACCTTTGGGGCCATTCATTAGGCAGCAGCGGCGGCGGCGCTTCTAATTGGAACTAATGCCCACATTCGATGTGGGGACTTTGCATCGGTTCTGTCCGAGTCCGAGTCCGAGTCGGAGTCGGAGTCCCATTCCCCTGCCGATCGCCACTACGGGTGCTCCCGGGTGCTTCAAGGTTAAGTGATCACTTTGCACTAGGCGGCGGAATCACGTTTGACTAATTGATTGCGTGGGCAAATGGGTCACAAACTAGGTGCACAAGTGCTGGTGAAAGGCGAGAGCACCAAATCCCATTCGCTGCTATTCCCTTGTGGCCACCAGGCTGCGTTGGTTATATTGAAACATCAACCAATTACACTGGAGGCACTCGAGCCAATTCGAATCTATTTCAAGCACCTTCGTTGGGCGTTGGCCCATCGCTTTCTATTAGTTAGAGGCGCCGGTTCTGCGCTAATGACCAACATCCTGGCATTAAGCAATCGCCACGGCAGGACCTTGGGCCGCTTTCACCACCCTTGACCTTTTGCAGGTGCGCCTGGTGAGGTCATCGTCTTCGCCAGTGCGTGGAATCCACATGGGAAAGGTAGACTGTTACCAGAAGGCAATTGGCTGGCAAATTAGCTGGTAGAGTGTTCTGTTACCAATTATAGTTTAATGGCAATGTATATTCAAAACCTACACAATCACTTTTAATTTGTAAAGGTTAAAAAGAGAGGATCTTTCAAATCGATGCTACGAAGATCAATGAAAATTGTTCAGTTCTGCTTGTAGTCCGCGATGCCAGGTACTTCTCATTCCGGGAACCTCTTACTTGCGCAACTTGTTCCTTCCCTTGGACTTGGACTTCCGCTTCTTGGAAGTCCGGCGGGCTTTGGTCTTGGTTACGCCACTGCTGCTGCTCGAAGTGGAGCTGATGCTGATGGAGCTGCTGCTCACGGAGAACTCACTGACTTCTACCTCGCCGGGATGGAAGCTCACTGACTTGGTGCCCTCTTTGCGCTCCAGCACAGGCGGGTCCTTTGAATCCTGCTGCTCAGCCGGTAGCTTCTGCTCCCTCTCCTCGATATCGTCATATGTTATGGCCTGAATCATCGGCTCTCCCGGTAGAATAAAGTCGTCCGTGTCCGCCGTGGGGTGTCCAAATTGCACCGGAGCATGATATGATACCGGTGCACCGGTTGCCGTGCTGAGACGTTTGGCCTCTGGTCGATAGTTGACTGGCTTTGGCAACCGGGAACCCGACTTCCAGATGGAGGACACCTGCTGTAGGGAGTCCATTTCACGCTTAGCACCGTCGCCACCGCCAATGCCCGGGTCTGGCATGGGTGCCGATGAAGGCACCTGGTCAGCGCCACCGGCAGCGCGCACTTGGCGGTTGCCGCGTCGACGACTTGGACGAGTGCTTTTCTCCTCCGGATACGGCATCTGTGCCAACTGCTCCATCATCGATTTGTAGCGGGCATGCAGCTTGAGCGGTGGCACCTCGTACGGAGCATTGAGCACTGCCTCGGGATCGAGCAGAATCCTTGATTCGACTGCCGGTCGTGGGGGAGACTCCTTAACCTGACCCTGCGGTGAATCATCCAGCGGCAGCGGCATTCCGCCCAGTGCTTTCAGCTCGGGATCCATCTGTTGTGGATCCTCCTCTGCTGCCTTGGGCTGATCTTCATCTCTGGCCGCAGCAGCCGCCGCCGCCGCCGCTGCCTTCCTACTCGCTCGCCTCGAGCGTCGATTGGGCGAAGTGGGTGCGTTAAGTTGGCGCACCATCGGGCGGTAGAGGTAGCGAACCACCTGCGGCTTCTTACCACGCTTGAGGGGAATCGACACGAAGTACTGGTAGCTCATGTCGATGCCGTCCTCCATGGTACGCGGCACCTTGTGCTGTTCCTTTCGAATGATCTTGCCCACAGTTGTGGCTTGTGGCTTCTGCGCTCCTGGCGGCGGCACCACTTTCGGGCTTCCAGTGGATGTGCACGCCTGGCTGATCCTATTCACCGAAACGGGTGGCGTTCTCCTGGCCCCAGCTGGAACCCTCGATAAAGTTTTGGGCTCTTCCATGTACGGATTCCGTGTTACTCTTGTCTGCGACTCTCTAGACTTCAGAAGCAAAGAGCCTTTGGAAGGAGACCTCTTTGGCTGCCTTCTAGCCTTTGGCGGTATGGCATACTGATTCAATGACTCCTTTGGAGGACTGATCGTATGGTGCCCAGTTGGGCTCCTTGATTCACTTCTCTGCTGACTCGCCGCTCTCGCCTTTTGTTGATTTAAATGCTGCCTGGGATGGCTTAGTGATTCGTCCAGATAGCGATTGGTCTGCTGATTAATCGTAGACGACTGCTGTTGCTCCATTGGTTGGATGACCCACGAATCCTTGAAAGGTTCCTTTCCCGAAGCACCTGACGCACTTTTTGGCTGGTTCATGAGTAGGTAAATGGAAGGCTTTCTGGAGGGATCCTTTGACGAGAATGCTTCATAGGTATTAGAATCCTTTGGTAGATCGTCTTCGGATAGGTGCATCATGGCAGCTTCCTTCAGTTGAGCGGTCAACTGATTGACGACATGATTCACCGACTGGCTGATTGGATTCGGTACCTTCACCATGGGAGTGAACTTTGGTGGCGAAATCGATTGGACCATCGCTGCATTCATTGCCAGTTTAGTTTTGGCCCTTCCTTTCTGCACGGGCAGCTTGAGCTGCTCCTGCTCCTTGGGAATTTCCGGCGGTTTCACGTCCCCTTTCGATGAGACAGGCTGCATGATCCTAATCACCGTTGAGGTCAGCTTGATGGCCTTGCCACCCAATGCACATGCGATGGCAGGACTCAGTTGCTCGGTGGTGGGCGTCCTGATCCCGCTCCTGCACTCTATGACACTGGTGTTGCTGCTGGTTGCATTCGAGCGGAGACTGGAGCTGGACGTGCTGCTTCTTACGCCGTTCTCCATCGTACAGCTGCTGGAATGCCAACTGGTGCTCATGGTTGGGCTCTGAAGGCGACTCTGGCTGGGAACGGGACTAGCGGCCGGACTGGGTGAGCAGGAAATAAGCCCATTGGCAAGACTTGGCTGCGATGTGGTCACGGGGGCGGGTATCTGGCTTACGGTTCCGGAATCGCGCAGAGGCACCTCCTTCACCTCCACGATTTCGGTTGAACTGGACGAGCTGGCTGGCGATCTAAAAGATGATTGTTGGGACAGTGGACTTGGTAACCTACTGGCTGACCAGTTGGGGGACCTACTTCGTAATCGACTGCTGGGCTGGGTTCGTGCTCTCCGGGGATCCATCTGGCGCAGCTGTGCATGCATCAGCTCATCGACGTGCATAATCCGCTGGCTGGGCACACGGAATATGCGCGATGAGCGCACCTTGCTCCTTGTCCGCCCAACCTGTTCAGCCGGCGAGGGCAACGCTAGCTGGCCACTGCTGCTGCTGTTCCGGCCCAAAGCTGCGGCGTGATTCCTCTTGGGCTCCCGCGACCCGCTGGCTTGTTCAGCTAAGTTATTCTCGGAGGAGGACTTGCTGCACGGTGTAAAGCTCTGCGATGGCTTCATGATCCACTTGACCTCGTTTACTCGCCGGGAAATGGGTATTCTTGAAGCAGCCGGTCTTCGGCGCAGCGTGGATGTGGCACTGGTTTGCATAACCCCCGTGGGAGCACCAACTAAACCACCACCACCAGTTGCCCTCTTGGATGCTGCCTTGCCTGCATCTGCGGACACCGCGGACGCAGGAGTCGCTCGACTTGCTGGTCTCTTGGGCACAGCTCCAGCTGCTGACTTGGGCGGCGGCTGTGAGGCACCAGTTCCTCCTCCTAGTTTGGAGGCGCCTGTTGCGGGCGCAGCTGCCTCATTTGGCGGCCTTGGATTTCTTTGACTTGGTGGCTGTGCTGCACCAGCACCACCTTTTGCGGTGGCTCCAGTTCCCGTTCTGGTCCTGAGGGCCATGTTCCGATTGGCAGGAGTGCGGCGACCTCCACCTAAGAACCTTGACATATCCATGGACATTGCGCTTATGCCGAAAGTGTTGTGATCGGTCGTTTGGTCGAACGGGAATTTCAGTTGATCTCAAAATTTAGTTTTGGTACTTTTTCTCAATGGTTAAAAACGGTTTTGTTTAATTTTTATTCGATAATTTAACATAATGATTGGTAAAGGGAGTGTATAGTAATGACATTCCGTAGAGTTGCCTACTAGGATCTCAGAAATGATGGCAACGAAATGGTTGCTTAGTTGAGCCATGACTTTGTGCTCAATTTGGAAATCAAGCTTTCGACAGAAGCCCAAAATAGTAGTTTCTCGGCAAGATTGTGGGAGATGTTCTGTGCACCCATATGTGGTATGTGCTGCCCAGCCGCGGGTCGTGCGCCACTGAAGCCACTGCCTCCAACGCCAGTCCACCACTGCTGTCCATCGGCGAAGTGCACGCTGTGCTGCAATGGCGAAACGAAGCACGAGTGCAGCTGCAACTGCCAGCGCAACGAGCACCTCGTGGAGGCGTTCAGCTGCCTGTTCCGCGTCAGCAAGTTCCAAATCCTGACCACGCTCTTCCTGCTGGCCTACCACGAGACGGTGCCACTGCCGCACTTCCCGCGCGACCGCAACTGGGCGGTGATGAAGAACGTGAAGGCGCCGTACACGGAGCTGCACGACCTGAGGATCTACGACAGCATGTTCGACCGCTGTGGCCAGCGCATCGATCCGCTGGACCGGAGGAACACGTACAAGCTGCTGCGCCTGATCTTTCTCGGCCCGTTGCTGGTCTCGAGTCAGCGGGCCCAGCTACTGGCCATGCTGACCAAGCTGAATGCCCGTGCCGCCTGTCCCGTGGATCTCGGCGGCCTGCTGTCGGTGGTGCAGACTGTGAAGCTGGATGAGCTGGTGTGCGGCATTTTGGAGCAGAACGAGCGACTGCAGCGCTTCCACAGCGGGCGGCAGTGCTTGGAGCTGTGCAATCTGTACGAGACGGTGGTTACGCCGCAGGAGGATGAGGTGATTGAAAAGCCTCGCCCGCGCAAGAAGAAGTCCAAGAGCAAGGATGCGGAAACACCGAAGAAGCCGCGCAGAATCATCACCGAGAAGGTATACTGCACCCGTCGCGTTCCGGAGCCCGAGGATACGAGCACTCCGATCGCTCGCAGCACCGCCAACTCCTTGCGCCGCTCCTCCAACAAGAAGAGCTGGCTGCCGACCACTCGGAGCAGCGCCAATGCCTCGGAGATGGGATCTCGGCGGGGCTCCCGCAGGGACTCCGCGGCTTCTCCGAGGAGGAACATGTCCGAATTGTCCGACACGCGAATGCTGGGCGGCAGCCGGTAGCGAACGCAGTGGAGCGTCTCCCTGGTCCGGCTTTAATCTCGGTCCATCCACAGTCACTAAATTCCTCAATGCAAATCGCTTTTGTCTTCATCTACCATAGTTTATTGCTCACAAAGTGGTGGTTTGTGGTCATGTCCTGCGTCTGCACCGCGGACTGGGCAGATACTCACCGAGCACCTGCTCCTCGAGGAGACCTGTGTAGGTGGGTGGGATGACCATGGCATCCTCCGAGCCACTGCGCAACTGCCTGTGGCCCCAGTCCAAGCTGTCATCTGCGTCCGCTTCATCGTCACTGGAGGATGCCATTGAATCGGAGTCATTGCCTGGCATAGGTGCTTCCTGTGCTCCTTGCTTGGTTGACTGCTGCATAGTTCTGGCCGAGATTTCAGATGATCCGTGCTTCGCCCTCAAGCTCTCAAAAAAAATGGCAAGTGGCATGCGAGTGTCCACGTTTTGTGGTTCATCGGCTGAAGTTAAAGCTCCAGCGGCTCGCCGTCCCCCACCTTCCATCCTGAACGACGACTGGTGCCTCTCCACATTTCGCCCTGCATCACAACTGCTGGCAGCTTCATTCCTTAGCGGATAGTTCTCGTAGTAGGTCGATGTGGATGGTCCCCTGTAAAGTGGAGCTTCCATGCCTTGCCCTTGCGCATGGGATGCCTCGCTGGAATGCCTCGTCTGGTTCTGATACGACCTGGGTGGCAATGTGGGTCCCAGGCTAGTCGCATTCCGCTCTTGGCTGCAGCCGCTTTGATGGTAGTAGCCCAGTTGCGGATCGGGTCGCGATCTAGGCCGCGTTCCTCCCAGAGCTTTGACCACGCCCTTAAGACCCTGGGCAGCGGCCCTTATGGCTCCGGCTCGATCCCTTCCCAGCCGTTCTTGGCCTGCGAACTGACCAGAGTAGGACCCATTTCTGGTTCTTTCCGGCATGAGGTAGTATGGCGGGTCTGCCGCCTGATCTTCCCACTGCTGGCTGGCGTTGTTTGGATAGTGACAAGGTGCTGGGTACTCTGGCAGCCATTCTGGGGCTGGCTGAACTGGCGGGTGTCCCACATGGTACTGTGGATACATGACCAAGTGCGGCGGAGGAGGCGCAGGCGCAGGCGGTGGACGCTGAGTGCGCAGTAGAGTGCGAGCGTGGTGGTGCTGCTGTGGCTCCCACCTCATGGCATCACTGAATAACATGGCCTTATGACGTCGGCAGGCGCACGGAGCTGGAGAGGAGCTGGGCTGGGGATGTGCTGCATCCAGCGGCTGGCTGGCCAGAAGAGGCGTGTGGTAGCGGCAGCAGCAGCAATGCTCTTCCTGCTGCGCCTGCACCACGGTGACCGCCTCCTGCGGCGGTTCCACACTGGCCACCGAGGGGGCAGGCGCACAGGGACATCGGACGCTGTCCGTGTTGGAGCTGAGAGCCCGGATGGAGGTGGCGGAGCGCAGGGAGCGACAGCTGCACTGGGATGCCGCCACCTCGCCGCCCGGCTGTGTGTCCGTGTAGTACCTGCGACCCGTCTCCAGGTGCGAGGGTGCGAAGCTGGGGAGCGAAGCGTGGTATTGAGTGGCCGCCTTCCTCATGGCCGACTTCAAGGGTGAGCCTCGGCACTGGGAGTGGGAATCGCCCCGCGACCAAGCTCTCGAGCACTGACTGGAGTTGACATCGGTGTAGGAGGGATGCGAGGAGTTGGATGGAGATCTTCGCCTTTGTTGCCGCTTCTTTGCTGGCTCTCGACTTTTCTGTGTCCAGGAGGAGGCATCCGAAATGTTGGCAGTATCTGGAACTCCCCTTTGGGAAGCCCACCGTTGATCGCTGGAGGAACTGCAGGAGGAAGGTCTCCTCTGACTTGGCTTCTTGCTAGGACTCCGCTTTGAGGGCTTCGCCTCTCGTCGGCTTTTCGGAGATGTGCCTCTTGACGATCCTTTGGGCGCAGTGTCCCCATTAAATTGCGCACAACTGGGACTTGAGGAATAGGCGGCTGGGTTTCCTGGTGGCTCCTGATCATCGCTTCGCACCTGAGACATTCTCAGGCTATGGGAACTACTGCCTGTGCCTAGCGGGGCTGCCCTTAAGTTTTCCTGCCTGGGCCCACGATCCTGCTTCCTTTTCTTGGCTTTTCGAAGACTGCGAAACTTCACTGTGGCTGAGTTGGTGATGTTTAATCTCTTGGATGGCAGTTTATCCGGCAACAAAGCAGCTATTATCCTCGGCTTAGACTTCGGCGTAGTTATGGGTTTCGAATGGAGCCTGGACCGTTCTGTTGAAGATGCACGTGAAGCCTCAGGTGACTGCTGGCATGGAGCTGCTGCATCCTGATCTTTCGTTCTGTTTGGTGCTTTAGCTGCAGATGGCGGACTCGCAGACTTGGGTCTGCTTGGAACCTGTCCCTTGGACTTGGGTCTCCTTTTGGCCACGCGCTTCATTAGCTGATGAAAATCATTGGATACATAGCAGGCCTTAACGCGATGTCCACACCTTAGGTAATCCACCTCGCTGATCGACTTCCGCGTCACCTCGGAGCTTTGGAGCACCGCCTGTTCTGCGTCAGCTAGCGCGAAAGTGCAGCTACTGACGGGCGGACGTTGGAAGGATTCCTGCGGCAATGCGCACTTGCATTGCGTCACCTCCAATGGGGGCTGCTCCTGAGGGAGTTGATTCCAACCCGCCAAAGTCCGCTCACTGGTGGGTGTGCGAAATGGCAAGGAGCGTTCGCTGTTGGACTGTCCACGGATAACTGCGCTGTCCGGATGACAGTTGTGGAAACCATTTGCCGGCAGAGATTCGGGCCTCAGTGTGGTGCTGCTGTCCCCCTCCTCAATCCCGTCATTCCAATGCCCCTTGGACTTTTTCCAGCTGCAGGGCGCCGGCTGTGTGGCTATATGGAATGGCATATTTGTGCCCCGCTCCTCCGTTTTTGGCCGCTTTCTGTTCTGACGCATTTGCCCGTAGCGCTCACGGTTCTGCTGGTAGTTTGCATTCAAATTGTAGAGCAGATGGCGACCTGGTTCGATGCAGCGCTTGCAGATCCCTGTGAATCCACTGAGGATGCCCCTGGGCTGGTGTCGACACTGGCAGCCCCTGGGCATTTCGGGTGAAGTTGACGACGAAACAGGCGAAGAATCAGTTGAAGAGGCAGGTAGAGATGCAGGCGAAGATGCAGGTGAAGAAGCAGATGCACTAGAAGGTACTGGAGGGGCAGATGGATAAGAAGACAGCGGGGAAAAGTGCGTGGGAGCATAGGCAGTTCTGTAGGACTGCGATTGCCGGCGGAAGATGTTGGGGAATCTCCTCCGCCACTCGGGACTCGTCTGCTTCCTGTCCTGTTGGTCAACACTTCGCCCCTGCCAGCTCTCAGATTGACGATTCTCGGGGGGAGTCTGCTTGCTGTCCATCTGCCTGCCCTTCTGACCATTCGCTTTGGTCTGCCGCATGTCCACCCGCTTCCTACGGCTTTCTTCCGGCTGCTCATCTTCGGATGAGGACGAATCGTCCAGGAATGCCGTGCCGTTTTCTTTAGTTGCCAAGCAGGAGTCATTGGCGCAGGTTTCATTGGAGCAGCAGCACTTCTTTGACTTCTCACATTTCTCCTTACAAGATTTTGAATCCTTCTTCTCCGTCTGCTTCTGGGCCGGCTGCTTGAGCTCCTCCGCTTGTCGGGACTCCAATGATGGCCTAGAAGGAGGCAACACAGCTGTGGCCACCGAATCGTCGCCCAGAAATCCGTGCTTCAAATGCGGATGGCGCTCCCCACACGAACAACATGCCTCCGTGTCGCCCCAGTGATGCATCGAGATGCCGTACAGCGGACAGCTCTCGCACATGGACGCCTCGTAGCTGGCCAGGATGCGAAAGAACTCCGGCGAAATGCGACGAAAGCGCGCCGGATCGAGACGCCGTTGGGGCGCCTGGCGCAAGTCGAACTTGCGTCGCAGGCACGGCAACAGCGGCTCCGTCCGGAGTGCCTCCAAGCAGTCGCTGGCCAGGGGCTGTCCATCGGCCTGGAAGAGGCAGCCACCGGATGCACCTGCCCGTCGCTTCAGGCAGGAGCAGCTGCCTCCTCGCGCTGGACAACGATGGCCAGCCCTCTCCCAGTGCGACCGCCTTCGCTTGGAACCCTTGCCTTGCATCTCCTGCGTTTGGGCATTGCCCATGAGAAAGGGGTTACCATTGCCCACGCGTGCTTCCGTGGTGGGTATGCATGCTGCCACCTTGCCGCCAGACTCCTCGGTGTCCTTCACTTGGCTCGCTGCTGGACCCGCTGCTGCGGACTTGCTGGCTTGTGCCTGGCGAGAAGGAGTCGAGCTGCGCTGTTTCTGTCCCGAGTTCTTGCTGTTCTTATCCGCCAATCCATCGCTCAGGGCGGCCAGCTCCTCGGGACTGAGCTTGTCCAGAAACACTTTCTGCTTGCGGAACCACTCGGTGGCCAGATCGGGCACAAGCAAGCGCTCCGACTTGCGGCTTCCGCCGGACAGGAGCTGCTCGAAGAGCGAGCAACGGGACGCCTTGCCTTCGAGGGATGATTGCGGTGGGAAGTTGCTCATGCCCTTCCGCACGAAGCGGTCCAGACAGCCCGTGGAACGGGTGGTGCCGGTCTCCAGCAGCTGGGTTAGGTACTGCCGCATGGCTCGTTCCGGACCAGAATCACATGGCTCCATTTCCGGTGCCTGGGATGCGGGTAAAGATGACTTCTTCCGATTGGTTACCAAAAATTTGTACGATTTTCCAGATAATTTATGAGTTTATGGGTTTTGTCAAAACCTAAAGGTTCAATTGAATTTTGAGTCATAAGAACGAAATCGCAAAATGTGAATTTAAGCCCAAGTCCTACAGCCTTCATACAACAAGTTAAAATGCGTCTTACTAGATTTTCTTTATTTTTATCACATAATTGGATTAGGAGAGTTAATTTGTCAAGGGTGAATTGTATGATTAGTGCTACAACAATGAGATTTGGAGCAAAGGCTTCCACATCTCATCGCATTGCTATGATTAAAAAACACATATTAAATCTCGGCCACTCTTGCAGAATCGTATCGGCCATCCAGGCGTCATTCTCCTTCCTCGTGGGACTCATCGTCTGCAAGTCGACGTGCACCAAGTCCTTTGTATATGCATCCCACTTCTTGATGGAGGCGTACGGCTGGTTCGGCACCGCCTACTTCATGTACGACATCTGGTCGATGTACAAGGTGCACACGCAGAAGATCGCCGATAAGCTGCACCTGCTGCGCATTACCAAGGGTCAGGGTGCGGTGGTGAGCAATGGTTACGCCAACGGCAAGGTCAACGGCAAGTCGTCCAGCGGCAACAACAACGGCAGCACTCCCACCAATCTCCACGAGATCTGCGACTACGATGGCGCCTGTGTCCAGATACCCAAGGACGGCAGATGGGACTTCCTCAAGTACGTGGTCACGCACCCGGTCATGATGATACACCACGTCTTTATCGGAACGTTTGGATTGCTGGTGGTGACGGTGAGCGCAACTAGGCATATGCAACATGTACTTCTACTTATGTATATTCCGATTGCAGTACATTCGCGGTGGCGGCCACTGCATCTACAGCTACATGTTTATGATGGAGTTCTCCACGCCGTTCGTCTCGTTGCGCAGCATCCTGAGCACCATGCGCCTCAAGGACTCGCGTGTGTACATCGCCAACGGGCTGCTCATGCTGGCCACCTTCTTCGTGTGCCGCGTCTGCATGTGGCCATACGTCATGTGGCGCTACAGCCTGGCCATTGAGGCTGCGTCCCTGTGGTCGGCCATGTGTGGTCTGCCACGAGGATGCCTCATCAGCATCGCTATACTCTTCTTGCCACAGCTGTACTGGTTCTATCTGATGGTTTTGGGGGCTCTCAAGGTGAGTGGCATTTGGGCACTTCCCGTACATCGTTCTGTCCTGCTCACTTCCATGTGTCGCTTTCTCTTTCAGGTCTTTCTGCCGCAGAAGAGACGGCCACCCAACGCAGTACTTTCGGCAAAGGCTGCGGCCACGCCCACCCCCACCGCCCTCGGAAATGGCAAAAATTAGTGCAAATTGTATTTATTTTGAGGCAAAGTTCCAGCCGCATCCGTATTGCGGAGATCTGGCTATTGTTTATACATTTTTAACAATTAATTATACAACTACTACAACGACCCACAACCCAGAACACCGATAACCGAAAACCGAAAACCGAAAATTGAGGACGGACGAAGAATGGAAACGGCAACGGCAACGATGGCGGATTACAAATGAACGGAAGACCATGGACAGATTTTAGTGTTAAAAAGACATTATTTACTAAAAACTACAAAAAAATGAAGAGCTAAGATCAAGAACAAAAACTAAAACCAAATGCAAATAAGGCGAATAAACTATGTTGCTTATTTTTTGAAGCAAGCCCCCTAACCATAAACAAATTAATGTTGCATTCAATTTCCGCTATATCCACAAAATCGATGTTGTTAATCGCCCCGAATAATTGTCGAGGGAAAAGCTTGTGTTAATACCATAACCTATTAGAAATATATATTGCGTATGCGGAAGGATAACTGAGAAGCATATGAAAGCCAAAGGAAATTGGCCAGATGCACAGCTAGGAATGTTTGATGTGCATATATTGATATGTATATATATTAATATTGAAATAGCGAGGCGCAAGTCACCGATTTGTATAGTGATCAAAGAATATATAGATACCCGGGGACCGTAAATCATTTTTCGGCCATCTATGTAGAGAATAAGGTCAAATGGAAAACGATGTACAGTAGTTTGCTGCTATTTAACAGCCTATCAGAATATATATTTTCTGAATTGCATATCACGATAATTTAAAATGCAAAAATATTTGTAATCAGAATTTGAATTGTGCTACACAAGAGCTAAGCATCAGTATACTTTAACTTATCCTTTAAATTTAAATGCTGTTTTAAATATTTTGAAATGCTGATTTGGCAAAGCTTCAGTTGTTCGGACAACCATCGTTTGATATTGATTTGTTTTACTACATTTTCTATATTAGGTTATAAAAAGAAAAACACATTTGTTACATTTACCACCTATAATTAAAATGTATTTTGTGGGCTATAGCCTAACTTGCTTAGTGCATTACATCATAGCATTGAAAACTCTTCCAAAATAAACAAATAGCACAATCCAGACTTATAAGCATTACGGTCCCTGACATAGAAGGAAGTCCTATTGGTTGCTTTTAAGCGAACTACCTATGTATGCTGACATTGGTGTATGTTTATTTGTGAAATGTATGTGAAACTAGCACAAAATCAAATTTTAATTGAGCTTACAAGATTATAATTATATATGTAGTTAACTATTTATATGTACTAATGTGGCGCAACGTCGTACAAGGATGCGCGGTTGTTTGGCTTATTGCCAAGTCCATGGTAAATGCGGACCGGCAGCTCCTTGGAGTTTTGTTTAAGACCGGTCCCAGATTGGATGCTTAGTTATGCGTAGATGTATGCGAAACCCATGTATTTTGAACTGTACAAATGGATTTAGCCGAGTGCATAGAGTAGATGAAGTGTATTTTTGAGAGGTCAGGCTGCCCCATGGCCACCGAATGAATGGACGAAATAAAGTTGCTACAGTTCCACAGTACATCAGTGGCTCTGGACTTGTTTACTCTGCTGGTGGATTGCTGGCGCTGGATCACAAGGTGGCCCGCTTGCTGCTGGGCAGAGCATCGCCCTCGTCATCGCTGCGATCCGCTCGTCGCCGCTTCTTTTGGTGCTCCTCCACCAGCTCCGAGGTACGAATCTTGTTGCCCGTCATCTGCAGCCATTCGATGTACTGAAATGGATGATGGATAAGTTTTGTCCGCTGGTTGGGTGCTTGGCTGCTAGTTGGGGAATAAGGAGCCACCAAGTTCGAAGTGTACGAAGAACCCACCTGACAGTTGGTGCGCACTCCAGCCTCGTGCAGCTTGGCCTCGATGTTGTCCAGCCGGTGCTCCGCCTTGGCCGCCTGTCCGTCGCTCTTTGAGATGTCCAGGAGGTGGCGTACCCTTTGGCGCAGCGTTTCGAAAATGATGCGCCCAATGACGTGGTTGCGATCGTAGGGCGTCAGGTAGCGACCGAACTCGTAGAAGTACGGGTGCAGGCGTCCCAGCTCGATGTGGGTGGTCTCCGCCTCGCAAACGGCCTTGTGCACATTGCGATAGATATCCGGCACGGCGACGGTGAAGTAGGCATTGTTTACCTTTAGCTCCTTGATGTACCACAGCGGCAGATTGACCGTCCTGCCGGGCTCCAGGTCATCTGATTCCGCACCGGAGTCCAGGAATCCTGCATGTAACTCGATATTAATGGATTGCTGGCCAGGATGTGCGTCTATCCATCATGCGGATCATACGGATCACTCACCCATCCGCTGCAGCTTGGTGTTCACCCGGCATTCAACCTTCTCCTGGGTCACGAATATGTCCTCGATGGAGTAGTAGTTCGGAAAATAGTTCATTCCATTCATTGCGACGCCAAGCTTTGTGATTCGTTGATGTTTATTTTAAGTAAATTAAATTTCTTGAGTGCGCGGCCTATCGCTTATCGATATCAGATGCATTTTGCCGGGGTCTATCGGACAGCTGTTCCCCTGGATAAGTTTTACTTGCATACATTTCCAGGGATGGACGCAAGCGTGGGAGGGGAAGTACTGAAAGCCGCGAATTTTAAATCGCAAGAATTTACGAATCATAGTATTTTTACCCATAATGGTAACTGAAAATACACATTTATTTTATTTCTTTTTTTACCATGGTCTGCAAATTTGGTCCCAAAAAATGACACGCACAATGTTTTCGTTCTCAACAATGACTTTATTTTGAGCTCAATTTGGAATAATGGTTGTCCTTCAATAGTGCTAGAGGCCCTAATTCACCTCCTCCTCATCAGATTGCTGAGCTTCATCTTCCTCCGGCAGCACAATATTCGTGCCGAAGATTCGGTAGCGACGTTGATTGAACACAGCGAATGCCACCATGATTAGACTCAATCCGTAGATGCAAATAGCGGCGTGGTGGTTCAAAATACTGGCGGCGTCCAGCCCGCCGTTCATATCGAGAATGTTGACCACCGACTCGGCAACTTGGTAGTCCAGTTTGAAGAACAATATTACACTTGAAATCACGAAAAGTGAAATCGCGTGCAGCAAGTGCTGCTTATTGGCGACGAGAAACGACTTGAAACCATGAACAGCCATTTCGATTATCTGTTGGGTCCGAGAACTAGAGAAATGGGTTTTTTTTAAATAAAAAGACAGTTACCCCGTATTAGTTAATTCCGTAATTTAAGATAGCTCACAACTATTTCGGTTCGTGCTTCGATTTCACTGAGAAAAGTTTTGAACTGACGCCCGTTAACCAGGGCTGGCGAGTGAAAAGGACTTTGACAGTTAACTGCCGCGTTGCTGCGCACTGGCCTGCTTCGTTGCCCATCGAACTATCGATACGCGCGCTGCCTCGCCAATAACTTTTTCAGCCCTCCGGCAAACGGTCATACTCAGCTAGCTGTCCGACGAGTTTTGTTATTGGCGGAGAAAAATTACGCTGGTCTATAAGTTCTCAGTTAAGCCGATTTCTCAGCTCCTCTCCCCCTTCAGAGATCAGCACATCTTTATATTCCTTGACCGATTTGCGATCCCGAAAGTCGAGCGGCCGTGCTTCTATATGTATTTTTTTTTTCTGTTTTTGCCCCTCGTGCAACATCAGTGAACTAGCGGCCCACCGTACAAAATCCCTCTCTCAAAAAAAAAAGAGAGCCAAAAGTGAAATTGCCTTTTGCGGCAAGTAAGAAAAAGAAAAAAGAGAATCGTATATAACAACAATTTGAAGTACACGAAGTTTATTGTTTACAATAGCATACAATACAAAACAAATATATAAGCTAACGGGCGTCGTTGTGCGTGTGTGTGTGCTTGTGTGTGCGTGCGTGTAGTTGTTGCGCCAAAAATTCCAATCGGAATTCTGGAACAGCTGGCCACAACAACAAAACGCGGCCAATAGAAGAACAATTTAGCTGCTGAAAATGGGCGACTTCGATCTGAATGTGGACAGTTTGATACAGCGGCTGCTGGAGAGTAAGTAAATGCGAAATTTCCCCTCTTTCGATCCTCATTTCCCAACCCGGCCATCCCCCCTAACGCCCCTCCCACGCCACTGTCCCCATTTTAATTTATTACACAGTTTATTTGTGCGCGTGTGTGTGTGCGATTGCATTTTCTAATTATTGCACATTGTTCGCTTAAATGGTAGTAGGTTTTCTTGTTGCTGTTGAGAGCCCCTTTCTCTGCCGTTGCCGCCGCCGCTGCAACCGTTTGAATTTGACTCTTGAATCAATTAGTTTTAATTGATTTTCATTGCTCCTCTTGGAAAACAGCTAAAACAACAACCACAATAACAACAGCAACAGCATCTACTGTTACGCTCATTAGCGTTTACATAACGCTAACAGCGATCGCGCTGTTAAGCACGCCATCTCTGTCCGGCGCTAATGTCTTCCAAATGATTTTTGGTTTATTAGCTGTGTTTTTTCTTGTTTCGCCTATATTGGCAATGACGTCATCGAGCTGATAAACACGAGCGTGATTCAAACAAAATGTGTAGCTATGAAATTGCCAACGAAGGAATGGAATGGAATCACATGAGTTTCTCGATAAGGAGCTTTGCCGCATATAACCCCACTAGATGTTGGAGAGGGATGGCTGTTCGTGTCACGCGACCATCGCTAAAGACACTGTAAACATCGGTTGCGAAATCGATGCCCAGTATATCAAAATTACCAATATTCCAAGAATATATAATACATTTCCTAGCCTTCCATCCCTTGGTTTCCAAATTAACTGACTCAGTTTTAAAGATATCACTCGTGTGGTTCGGGAATACCCAATAATTCTGTAGTTTTGAATTGAGCGATCTATATGAATATGAATGGTTCTCTTAGATTCTAAGACATTGTCTGAGTATCGACCGCTATAGCCGATATGCACTGTAGCTGGCTTAGAAAGCGCGGTAGGGGTTGTGTCATCATCGTCATCATGCAACCTTCCTGCAAAGCGTAAAAGTGCTAAATAGTTTACGTTTTTGCAACCTCTTCTCTTGGGTTTCGAATGTGGTATGCCTTGCCTCTGCCCTGGTGAAAACCCAACATCTGCGAGGGTTGCTTAAGCCGCTTAGCGCTTGTCTCGTTTTGCAAGTGTCAGCCAATGTCGAAGATGCGGCAGTCGTGACGGAACAGAACGGTACGGGATGGGCTTTTCCGCTTTTCCGGGGGGCGGGTCACAGCCATTTGGCTTTAGCTCTGACCGACGCCACGGGGAAATTGCATTTGAACATTGCGATTTTCGGTTTTTGTCCATTTCCGCAATGAGTTTCGCTTTTCTTCCCCCGATTCTGTCTTTCGGTTTCATTTATTTCTTGCGCTGATATGACACGACCCAGCTACAGTGGTCATTCGAAGGGAGAACGCAGCAGAAGGATAACGGAGAAGAATCTTTTTAAATAATAGTTATATTTCTACTTTATAAGATCTATATAAATATATCCTAGAGCGTCTACTATGTTAGCTATCGATTTGATAACGCTTTCTCAGTCAAACGTATCTTCTTTAGCGAGTGATCACTGTAAAGCACTCCCAGCTCACAAAGTAAATGGGAAAAGGGGCAGATTGAACGAGATGGTCGAGGTAGGCCACAGCCATTTGTCAAGGTCATCGAGTGGGCTAGGTCATGGCACTACGCCCACCACCCCCCAAAAAATGCCATTAATTTTGATCTATGAAGCGTCATCAGCGTCTGTCACCGGCAGCAAAAAAAAGAAAATAAAATGGCAAAAGCAAAAGCAGCGGCGGCGGCAGATAAATTTCATTTGTCAAATTGCAAATTGAAATTGAATTTTTAGGGCACTTTGCCGGCTGTCGTGTCTTCTGGCTCTCGCTTTTCCGAGAAGGATGGAAATTTCGCCCCCACTTTGTCTTTTTTATGTTTTTTTTTTCCCGCAGCCCACTCAACCTTTCCCACACCCCTTAGTTTTATAAATCTATTTATATATATGTATATGTGTATGTATATATGAATATATATGTATGTGCATCCATTCGAAAGACTTTAAAAAACAAAAAGAGGCCGAAGAGCACGCCCAGAAGCTGCTAATCGCTCAACAATTGGCCGCCGCCGGCGGAGCAACCGGCTTATCCGCCTCATCGCCCACATCCAGCAGCAATCACTCGTCGGTGGCGGCGGTGGCCAACTTTGGATCCGGGTCCGGATACGGATCGGGATCTGGGTCTGCTCCTGGTGCTGGTGCTGGCCCAGGATCCAGCCATGATCCCCTGGACGAGCTCACCGAACAGCAGCGCCGTCTGCTGCAGCAATACTCGATATCGCCGCCCAGCGAGACGATGATATCGGCCGATGGCGACCAGATCACCGTCCATCATCCGCGCGAGGAGCCCAAGAAATCCAGATTGAAACTGCGCGATTTTTTCGTCGCCGAGTTTGGTATTACCACTTTCAATCTAAAAATCCTCCCTATTGATCACTTTGTTGATGTTTGATGATCATCCGTCATCATCATTCTGCCCATAAGTCCAGTGCAAAAGTAAACACCATACTGCAATGGTCACGACCATGAGACTTCATACTCTAAGTAGCGTGCTGTCGTCTATTCCCACACCACGTCACCACAAAATAAAAGGACCCCTGGCGCTTTCTCTCCTCCGTTCAACCAATCCAATCCAATCCAAAACCAATCCAATCCCATTCAGCTCTGTTCCAATCAAATGCAACCCACACTTATCACTTTACTGCCAGCTCACTCGCTTGTCACACGGCTAAGAGCTTGGGAAGCACAAAGGGATGCAATACTAACACTAATACATATCCACTCAATCAGCACTATATTCCTGGGTACACTCAGCAAAACAATGTGAACCGCTACTGCCATTGTGTTCAATCATAACTGAGCCTTCACAAAATATGAAACCTACTTGATAAGACATTTTATTGCTCATTCTCAGGCAGTTCAAATGAATCGTTGGGGTGAATACCCTACTCATTCATTGAATGTTTTCAATATTTGTAATGAAATAAGCGGGATGTTATGTGGGTCCTTGTTCAACTAAACCATTTAACATTTAAAGCGGTTCAACTCTTTCAACTATTTTTGTTTATTTGCTAAAGTAATTGCAACATATTTGATTAGGGTTTCAATCGATAGCGCAAACAACTGGAACCCCATCTGCACTTCACTAGAATAACTATAAGTAAAAACAATTAAGTTTTGGGGCAGAAGAATTTCATAATATTTATGATGTGGTATGGGGTTACTGTTTACTTTTCCGGAACTGCAATCGCAATGTCAGTGCCAACGCTTGACCAACGCCTGCCCCGATTAGGTATATATAGTACTTTATAGATGTGTATCTCTATCTATGTGTGTGTGTCCGTGTGTTGTGCAATCACTCCAACAAACCCCCCGTAAAAGCCACAACCCGCATCGCCTACATCTAATTGTTTTCACAAACAGCGCAAAATCCACCATCGCCAAATGTAATGCGAAACAAATTAAATGTATAAAAATCCGAGAAGAATGCGGCAGTAAGGGTTGCCATTTCTATTCAGTGCAATTGGGATGATGATGACGTCGGATAGAGGGAACAATTGTTGTCCAAAAAAGAATCTCGTTGAATGTGACACGCGACATCGCAAACAACTGCAGCACTTCTGGGTGTTAAACAATAATCATAAACTATATCAAATTTGATTGGCGCTGAGTGTGCAGATAGTTACTATATAACAAATCGGGGAATAAGCCAAATAGGGTGGCGTTTACATAAGTATTTCTGGTTTCGATTGTCAACAAATTCTTGTGTGTTTCGGGTTATCTGTTATCTAAGCCGGCGCAACTTATAGTAACCACTACAAATCGTCGCATTTAGATAATCAAGACTGTTAGATTGAAAAACAAGGTATTATAAAGTTGAGTGCAGATTTTTATGGGGAAGTCCCTAATCGGGTTGTGTAAAGTACTCAAGTATCGACTGCAGTTTTGTAACCTCACATTTCGCTTGCAGTAGCTTCAGATGCCCATAAAACTAAAAGCAACAAGTTACCTTTGATATTTTGCAATTATCATGCCAGCAGCCTTAACCCCGGGCCAACAAAATGGAGGAACCTTAACCCCAGTAAATGATTGCAAACCTCCTTCTAGTTACATGCTGTGCGGTGTTCGGTGTTCGCTGTTTGGTGTTCGGTGTTATTGATTGGCCTGTTGTCCCATATTTTCCCCTCTTTTCGCACGTGCTGGCGCCATGGAGAGTGTGCCAAGGCTTCGGTTTTCGCCGCTTTTCCAACGGAACGGAAAAGTCAGTGCCGAGTCATCCTTGTCCCACTGAC